AAGAGTTGCCCCACCAAAATCACCCTGGCAGCTGTCACGGTCGCCAGAACTATATGGGCAGAACATTTCCGCAGGTGAAAATGCGTAAGGGAACCTGGCATAATATAGGACCATATTTAGTTCTATCGACTGGATAGGCACACGCCGTACACAATAGACTATTCAAGATTATTACTAGGTTTATATATCCTTCAGGAATTATTCGGTCACGAAAAAGCGTTTTGAAATTTTTACATGAAATACAAATTAGCATGCTTCAGTACCGAATGAGGGCCAATTGGGGAGCGCTATTTCAGTTCTACGGGGAGGCTTATAGTAAACCTTTAGATTTAAGCTGTTAATATCAATTGTCGAATTTATTATACGCATACAATGACATAATTGTATTATACGAATGTATGGCGTTAATTTTTTAAGTGATTTATATAATATATTAAGATGGTTTCTTTAGATTGACACGCACGGAAATTTCAGTAAATTAACTTATTAAACTTTTGACTGATCTCTCTTTGCAGCGGTTGTCAGAAATGGGTTGTAGTCTAGTGCGGTGAAGAGCATGGGGGTTGTCGTGGATAAGTTTTTTGGTGCGACCCCATCCGGCAACTAGAAGAGACTTAGAAGGATATGTCGTTGACGGACCGACACAAATCGAAGTGGAAGGGCCTGTCGACACGGAATAAGTAGCGCGATATCATTGGCCCAGCTTCCCTGCGATATTCAATTGCTTGCAATGTAATGCTCATACTACGAATGTATATGACGACAACATCTATGAACATCTAAACATAAAGCAGACGCTGGTTGAGAAATAAAAACACCTTTACTTATCGTACTAACTAAGGCCTTGCTGGCTGACCTTTTTTGTTGACCCTGCAACAAAGGCTACTTTGCTAGTTCAACGTAAAATGCAGGCGTTGAGGATCTTCGATTTGATTAAATATCTGCATAGAAAGGTATGTTTGTGCAGCAATGATTAGAGGCCTTTAACCTGGATGCATGACGATCTCTGAGACGGTCCTCGGTTGACACCCTTCGCTGGTAACAAAGATTTCGCTTTGGCTTTGATACAGTGAGCTGTGGTCACCGCAAAATACTTTGTAATGAGCGCTACTCCGCAAACCTGAAATCAGCTACAATTTGTTGCATGTCTTTATACTAAGAGAAGTCTTTGCATCGTCCCGTATCTCGTAGGAAGCTACTATGAGGGAAGTATTTGGTAAATCCAATAGAAAAATAGCTAGACCTTGAAAATTTATCTATTTTATTATTTAAGGTCTGTACGTGGTTGTCTGTTACACTTCTTCATACGACTGCTTGAAATGTCAGATGGTTGTAAAATGACAATAATACGCTACGAAAGTGACTTTATTTTACAGATACGCCGAGTCAAAGGCTCATATGTCCGATTGCCAATAACCAAAGTCCTAGGCGTTCCAGTCTCCTCGTCGGTGTCTTTCGCGCACCTAGCTTTCGAACGCTTTTCTGGTATACCATATGTACGCACGATGTGAAAGATAGACTCTAGCACTAACCTGAACTCCATCTGTTCGACGAGCCAATTGCCAAGGGACTTGACCTCGTTGGGCTTCAGTCCCATCGGCAATACGACTTTTGCGAAGAGCTGAACGACCGCAAGGTACTAGCCTAGGTACTGACCTTCTCCCTCATCCGTCACGGATAACAGCTTAGAAGGTTCTGGTAAAGGTAGGGTAGTACAGGATAACCATACGTCTACTATGCGCTAGCTTCATTAGCTCGGTGAGTTACTAATGGAAATTCAGCTTAGCGGTAGCGATATTTTAGCATTTGTGCTTTATTAGATACGCGTTTTAGCGTTGGTTGAAGTTAGAGGTCAAGTTCAGTGTTTCACTAGATGCTTCTGCTTAAGCTGGACTGACCTCAGCGATGACTCAGTTTGCTTAATGTGGGACAGGCTATAGAACTAGAGATAACAAGTAAAGTTCAATCTCGTCACCTTTTATATTGACTCTACTGAGCTACACGTACCGCTACCTAAAACCGCAACGGCAACTGATCGACGTGATAATGGCAAAATACGCGCATGTGTTCTTGGAGTACCATTGTAGACAAATGCTACGCCGCATTGATCGAAAGTGATTGATGGCGGCGTCATAGATCATTTGTACGCACACCCTACAGCGATAATCTGGCGTTTGCAGGGCAAGGAGGAAAAATCCGATTTGATGCCCAAACGAGTTCGCTATGCTTATCAGTGTTCCGCTTGTTGTCGAGGTCGCTGTTGTCGCATCTATTATTTGCAGTACCCACGGACAATTCGCTCGATGAGCGCCCTAATCCTAGCCCACAGTAAAACATGTTTAGTGTTAGTTAGAGTGATGTTTATATCTACATAAAACAAGCTTTACGTCGTCTACTCTATTGGCCAGTACGCAACAAACACTCTTAACCTTGTCTGTGTGTGTGTGTGTGTCTGCGCGTACATCCCGGTAAAGAGCTTGATAAATTGACTACGATGACGCGGTAAAAAGCGGACACGCGTTGTCACGCATGATGACAATACAATGTTTCTAATACGAGGCTAGACGGGCATTTACCTGTAAGCAGAGCCCGTCATATCCTATTGCTATAGTATTGCTATGAACCCATAATATTGCAGAAACATATTTGCTTAAATGGGACTTGATCCTATTACGATTGAAGTTCGATGTAAGGAAAACAGCCAAAGCCTTGTCCTGAAACGTAGCACATTCCGTGTTGCCATCATGTTCAAAGGCTCAAAGAAAACGAAGCTGTTTTGGTAGATAGTTTGTTGCCTCGTTAAGGTTAAACTAGAACCTGTTACAAACAGGAACATAAAATGCTTACGTCAGAAGAAGCGACATAGGAAATTCTAGGTTGGAAGTTACAAATGTCTGGCACGCACGCGCGTCAGAGACGGCACATAGGCAAATACTTGTTTAACTTCAATAAAAACTGTCTGGTATTGATTGTGAAAAGTTGGTCTGGTGTGTATACAGGCAACACGAAGACTACAAGATCCCAATTAGTTTGTTTAATTCTCAACCAAAACACTTGAGATTTATTTATTATTGTATTATAAAAAAAATTTTAGAGCTATCCAGTCAGGTAGCATTGCTTTGACTAAGTTCACTTTAAGGGACTTGAAGTTGAACTGCTAGTTAAAATGTCTAGCTCCATTCGGCGGGTGTTCAAAGTCGTCCTACTTATACCACGTAAAGAAATTCCAGTTTAATAAAGAAAAAGTATAACAAAACCATGTTTACTCAAATGATGATTACCTAATGTAATAATAAACGTTTGCAATTTGCCAAATTTGTATAGTTAATAAACAATTCATTCAATTTAATTTTAAACAAAACACTCTTAATATGCTATATGCAGTCTTTAGCTCAGCCGATGTACGATACCGTCAGGCGTAAACTAATCTTCTTAATAAAAAAAGGGGTTTCCTTTTGTTTTTGTGGGAGTTAGTTATAGGTATCTGCTTAAGTCTAAATACTAATAATACATACAGAGCTGTTCGATAAATATCGTCATATTTATACCTAATTTTGATTCGATTTGCTGAACAGTCGATGCGTAATACTTCGCGCCAAACAGTATCTCCCATTTATATCACAAATGAAAATGATATGAGCTACGTGCGATATAAACTTGCGCTAAGATAGTACGTTTTGCCCAGAATGTAACCTACAATAAGGCCCACTAGTAGGCAGTCAATCGTCTATGAGGAAATAAATCGCCGACCACGTCACGGACGAGTTGATTCTGGCTATCAATACGCATTATCTGGCAGGCATTATCTGCTAGATGACGACCACGACGACCTTCACCTATTTCATGCGCAGGTCGATTACGCAAAAGGGCGAGGCCTATGGCTGGATGATAGGTAAAAGCCTAGCGATACGTACCAATGATGTCAGCAGACAGCATACTTCCATTTATAATAAAGCCTTTAAACCTAACAGAATTAAACTTGTGTTTTCGTGTCGAAAGGTGTTAGATCTTCTAAAAGTGAGAATATGCTTTTTTACAATTGGGCTCTTAATGAAGTATTAGTTCAGGGTGCCAGCTAAAGATGTTGTGAGCATTTGTATAACTGTATTAAATGATAAATTGTCTTTTTCCTGTTGACGTTTGCAAATTTTCGGATATTGTTAAACACTCCTCACCAGAGGTGCCACAGCACATATCGTAGAGAATGCGTACATGTTACTCATAATGCGTGTGCAATTACCAACTAGTACAGTCCGAAAACCCAGAAACGTTCAATATTGCCCTGTTGAAAGTAGGGAGTGCAGTGCTGATCAACTGCTCTAAACCCAGTCTCTCCCGAACCGCGAGTTCGTTCTATTCTGAACTTAACTAATGCCAGTAAAGCGGCGTTGAGCCAAAAATAAAGGCTAAATATTACGAAGGCCATAATATTGTGCTATAGATATTCGATCGGTGGTAATCGACTATATCCAATTCTATATCTATATACAAAAAAATTTTTATTTTTTAGGTTAATAACTTACATTCTAAGTAACTTTTATAGTTGGCTTTGAAAATATCAGAAAAATTAAATGAATATTTAATTAAACTAGCATTTATTAAATTTTGTGACGAACTTGCTAAAGCATTGTCTGAAAATCATTGATGATCTCTTTTTCGTGACTCTCTATCGAATTTATTCTGTTCCGATGGTCTCATTAACGTTGACGTAAATTCAGTCGCCTATGCGGGTTCAATGAACCAACCACATGGTACAGATATAGGATGTATATAGTAAATAGGTACAAGATGACTTTTTTGGCTTTGTTTATTTCAAAGTGCTAAAGTAACGCTCTACTACTATCGCCTCATCTCATTTTCGCTGAGATTTTTATTTTATACTCTTGCTTTAAGTGTGATTAGTATAGTTGTTCATTGTCAAATAATGAAACTACTTCTAAACGTTATTTGAGATCAAGTTAATAATTATAAGTGAAAAAAGTATCTAAAGTTAGCACAAATGCAACATTTGCTCACTTTATTAATTCTTCACACTGCCGCGGACGATGGTACGGTTTTCGAAACTTCCAGAAATTGACCCGATTGCATTACCAATATGTGAGGCCATACTGAAAATAGATTCAGGAACCTGCAAATAAAAGCAATATATGTTGGGTTTACAACCTTTGTTTAGGGAGAGAACTAAGCTTTTTAGCGTTTCTGTAGAACGATATTGTGCTCACTAGGTTTATTAAGTGAAACTGTTAAAGTAGTGTTTTTTTTTCTGTCGGTTTTTTATAGTCTCGTCGCAATACATAATCTACAATCAGCAATGCGCATTGATATGATAAAGTACATTGACAAGCGGAGTAATCAACTACTGAGCAACAGAATAAAAATCTGCTCCCACCTGTTCTTGAATATTCGATAGAGGATCATTAATCGCAGGTAGTTGTTCCCAAATAAGACCTGTTATGCTTGTAGTAGTTAGGTAAGGTTCTGGTACCCTTGAAGCCATCTTTATCCTTATAAGAGTTTCGTCGTTTAGCGTTGAACGAATCTATGAGGAATAGAAGGAAGAACGAAACAATCATAATGATGATTATAACAGTATCTTCAGTTTCTGTTGCGCAACAACAACAAAACATAATTGTAAATAGAGTTGACGAAATAGAATACCTGCTCAAGATCCTTTGTACTACCAAATCCTTCAACGATATCCTCGATCCATGGAGTGAATGTGGTTGTGCGGGTGTAGACTCCTGGGGCTCCAATTCGCGCGCAACCTTCACCCCACGATACCACTCCGGCAAGGTAGCTGATCCCTACAAATAGCCACAGTAAAATGGACCACTCGATGTAACGATACTCCTCTATTCGCTCGCGGCAACCGACGAGTCGAAAAAAAAAAAAAGAACACTTACTGGTAGAAAAAATTAACAGAAAATGTTTTTGTGAGCCACTATGCTAATATTAATTACTATCGTCATATTCATGCCTGTACAGACCGAGCTATGGAAATTCGTCGTTGCAATGTAGCCGGATCTAAGAAGCGCAACTATAAAGTGCCTTCGTTATTGCCCTACCTAGTTTTAAAACTCTTACTAAACAAAATTGAGGTAATAGTGGATGAACGTCGTTTTACGAGCGTTTATATAGGCTGATTGTGTCGTTTGATCTTAGCATTTAATAATCCATCCTTATATATCTTGCTACGAGAAGAATATTGAGTAGGCATGACAAAAAAAAGAAGCAATCCAGACTCAAAATGCTTCAACTTGCTTCGTTTAACTTGAATATAATACGAAAGTCGGCTACACAAGGGCAAACATAAATTGATCTATAGACAAAAGTATATAAGTAGTCCAATATACACGTCCAAGACGTATCGACTGTATAACACTTAGGACAGCACCGAAATCTATGATGCGACCCTTTGCCATCCGTGCCTGGACGTATGAGCGCAAATGACTCTGTCGTAGACTAGAAGCACGCAATACGGCAAAGGCTCTGCAGATGGGAAAATTACGTGTAACCTTAACATTCGACCCCCTTTTATTTACAGATTACTGAAACCCAATGTGCAATCCAGCTGGCGAGAAACTCATCAATGATTATTCATTTGTCAGAAGGATATCCATACGCTGGCAGCGGGCAGACGCCGGCTAATATATCTAGTTTCTTATAATAGACTGTAAATGTTTCCCCAGTATAGCAGAGAACTTGACTAGCCTTTCGCTCATCAAAGCGTAGCTTAGCATTCTTTATAACTTTCCAAGTTGTTGAAATCATTTGCTAACGTACAAGTGTATAGTAGCGAAAAACATCCCCCTATGCATTTGACAACTGTGCCTACAAACAGTTACGGCACGGATTCGTCTGCAGTCAGAAATGTTTGTGTACCAACCTCCGTGTTTGATTACGGCGGGACCTCCTGAGTCCCCTTGGCATGAATCCTTTCCACCGCCCGGCTGCATTGCGCAAAACATCGAGGTGGCATTATACACGCCACGATAACGAGAAGCACACTGATCATTTGGGATTACTGGCACAGAGGTAAACATAAGATCTACTGTGGCCGAACCGTTTTCAGTGGCCCGTCCCCAGCCCGATATCTGTCGATGAAATGGCACAGCCATAACGTAATGAAACTACTCTGCTAATTTTACGTTCCTTCTAGTTAGTTTAGGTAGACTGAGAGCTAGCCAAAGAAATAAGAGTAGAAAAAAAAAAGGTATTCATATTTTTTTATCTGTTTTCTAATATGAGTGTATTTCTGACTCGATAACGTGAAGAGACACTACTAAGCAGATCTAGTTAATGCAGATATATTTTCACACTTTTATTCTAAAAACAATATAACTTCTCATGGTGAAGATAGATAGATAGATTTTTACTATGATAAAACTGTTTGTCGCTTTTATAAAGCATTGTTTAATAATGATAATAGCTAGGTAACTTTCTAGGGAAAATACTTGATAGGTCGTTTTTACCCTTGCAAAAAGTCTATGTGTACTTTTCCCATTTCTAATAGCGCCTATACTTCGACAGTATACTGTCGATTTGTTGAGTCCTCAAACGTGCCATTCTTCATTAATATGGACCTAACATGATAAGGATTACCTTTAGGTTACCCAGTGGTTCGTAACCAGGAGGAGGCAAACAGACGGGCACTGCCGTCTTTTCGTTCAGCGCGACCGATTGGGACAATCTGAGAAGTGCGATATCGTTTGAAAGTCCCAGATTTGGGTTCCAGTCGGGATGAATGTGAACACTCTTGACAGAAGATTCCTTCAACAAAAAGTCGTACTTCCCAAGAGAGCCATAACCGACCGTATAAACGAACGGAGTGTCCTGAACACAATGGGCTGCCGTGATGACGAAGTTCTCTGATAAAATTGACCCGCCGCAAATATGTCCGCCATGTTGCTGTAGTACCACCTAAAAATAAGCCAGCCATAGACATGCCGACTATGTAGAGGCTCTTAAATGAGTCAGTGTTTGTCTACGCACAACGGTTGTGTCAGGGCCAAAGCTTTTGCAATGGATAGTTTGAGCCATTCGAGTGCTATAGCATAGCTGGGCTAGGGTGATATAAGTAACGCTAGTAAGTTGACAGAAGTAGTATAACAGAGCAGAATAATGGCCACATCGAACGTTTATTTCATTGGAGGAAGGATGACGTGATAGTGCTAGCAAGCTATGCAGTGAGCATCTTTGGCAGTGAGGAAAGGACGAATTGGGTTTAGACGTTCACAGTCGCTAGAAGTAGGGTGCTATGGGACGCACTAAGTCATTATTATTTAGGTCATTCTGAAATCTCCATGTTACAACCTTAACGTTGTGTAACCACGAACCACGAACGACGAAAAACTTGAGATAAAACTATTTGGCTCGTATATAACGCAACACTAGAAAATCATTCCGTATATTCCGACCTCTATGTTTCGAATTTTACGTCCGGTATGGCCGTTAAACATTCCATAAAATGGTTGGCTTTCAGCACCAAGCGAAGTCTATGCCCGGTTCGAACCTAGATAACAGCAGGCGAATACGTTACGACCTGTGGTGACCTACCTGCCAAGGAAACTCCCCCAGTTGAGCCTTTTCTCCACCGACAATTTTGCCTCCACGATTTAATGAACGGCCGCATGTCACTAATGAATAAACAAATCCGAGACAAAAAGCCAGCACCATTAGGCTAAGGAGTGGTCTCATTTTGAATCGTCCTTGAGTGTGCTACAGGCAACGGATCAATCGTCGATATTTAAAAGATTGTTGAAGTATAATTTTGCATTTATAACGGTTAGGGATATTTTTACGATTCTCGAGTCAATCCTTTTCACTGTTTGCACTTGCTGTTATGCGCTCGGAGATTGCTCTCGCGAGCAGACCAGAAACAGGCCTTAATAGACGACCGGTATAAGTGGATTCTTGTAGGATACACCGTTCGCTGACACAACCCCTATGATAATCACGCAGCCGAACGTCGCAGGACGAAATGAATGAAAGTGAATACGGGCAAGTTACTGGCAAATTGAGGTAGAGCTCATCTTTTTTTTGGGACCTATTTATGGGATACTAATTTAGAAGAGACATAATCGAAAATCTACTGGCCTTACGTAACCATGTAAAATCGTGATGATAAATCGCTTATTGTTGTTCAGCACGGCAGCCTACGTTTGTATGATACCGTTTTACTGCTGTAGTTGCGCTAGACGAACGTCGTAACTTGTGAATAGTCTGCAAAATCGATCTAATAGGGAATTTCATTGTTTTAACGTTACTTGTTATAGATACTTCGGGCATGTATTCAGCAACAGCCAGCCACTCAGTTGGTTTACTATTGTTGTTGCTTAACCTAGGCGTTACTTTTGGTGGTTAGAAGGTTTACTTAATTTTAAGCCTCTATGTTTCGAGTTTCACGTCCGGTATCGCCGTTAAGCTTCTTATCGGATAGCCGGGTTCGAACCTACATCCCTATGCTTAGCGGGCAAATACGTTGCCCAGTAAGCTGTACCGGGGCAAATAACCCTTGTCTAGGAAAACTGATTTTTACATTGAATATCCAAGCCAGGGGCCATTCTGATATGCAATTTTTGTTTACATTATGTAGTAGCTAAAATTTCCAATGTGTAGAAGTAGAAGTATGCTCATTTCATAGCTCGAACGAACAGAATAGCCATATTACAAAATAATACTCCGGAATGGAGTGGCGCATAATCTTATGTCCATATATTAATATTACTACTTGGCCTTTGTTAGATAAACCTTCGAAACGTTTTCTTCGCATACGTTTCGAACAGCTATAGCCAAGGGGACAAGCAGTACAGTGCCCAGAAGACTGTTGCCGGTTTCAAGGATTACTCTTGGTTCTTTGCGCATTTGACGTAGTAAATAAAGGAGAGAAAAGTCCAGAAATTACTCTTGATAAAAAGTTCGGTTAAAGCATGATTTGCAAGATCCAACAGAACGCATGAGATCTACTCAATCGTTAGTCGCTAGGGGGAATAGTATTAAAATAATAATGAGTGACAGTTAGAAAAGACCGTCAAAGAAATGCAGTCAATAATAAAAGTATACGCGCGTCACTCCCACCGCCAAACTAACCGTAGTTTCGATCTTTCAAGATCAAAGTGAGGCTTTTCCATTAAAAGCCCGTTCCGTGCCTATTATCAACCTGATCCTCGTGCCGTCCTGTGTGCTACGAATAGCTCAACCAGCCCGAACTCAAAGCTATAGCGCCACCTCGTATTATTCATCCTTCTTCTATTCAATGCACTGCAAGTGCGATACGTACGAGGCGCCTGTTACGAAGAGATAATACCGCTAAATATAGGCATAAATATAGCTACTCACTGCCTGGATCCCGCTACGGTTGAGCAGAGGGCCAAAAGGTCTTCTCGGGTATTGCCGTACCAATATCGGCACGGCGTCCTACGTAGTGCTTACTGTAAGGGCACGTTTACACGTTAAATTTATTCATGCCGAGTAGAGTGATTTCGATCCTCAATGTGGAGTACGCTGTTAGGGGGTTGGCTGCTGTTGTAAATCATAGGAGACGGCAATAAAAAACAGAGGGAATATCGATAGCAATAGGAGCTGGGGTATGTCCAGGCTTACGTGGCGGCCGCAGCTGAAGAAGAGACAAAATGACTTATGACAGCAGATTAAGAAGCTTGATGTTTATGTTCAAGCTTGGGATTAACGATGCGAATGTATTCTTCAAGTCAATGGAATTAACCCTTTAACCTATAGATCCCGAATTTGAGTCAATGATCCAGAGTCAAAGTATCATTCATTGACGCGGATGAACAGTGTTTATATAAAAGATGAACGATTAAACGTTCTATGTTTTTACTTGAGACCGTTAGTCGTCACTGAGAGGTGACCTAGATCACCTATTTCTGCAATCACATGTAGAAACAAGTCAATGTTCTGTTCTTTTTATAACAAGCGCAATTGTATCCCCTATACCTGATACATGTTAAACATGTGGTATGTACGCGTAGCGATCTGGATGGCTAGGTTCTGGCTGGAAAAGCACAAATCGTTGGTTGAAACCTCTGCAACAGACACATACTACATGTTTACCACCCGTGTAAAGAATAAAAAAAAGTCCACTTTATTATGATATTGTATATCGTCTTTGTTCACAAATGAAATTATATACTTACTATTCTTTTACGTCCCATAGGTTGTCTAATCCAGTTCGGTATGGACAATTAAGGCTATATAAAAAACGGCCGAAAACATATCAACGTGTCTACATATATATATTTCAGTTTCAGATATTATTATACAATTTTTTAGTATTTTCACCAGAACAAAAAGAAATAGGAAAGAGCATCTAACCGCTATTAACAAAGATTGCGCCTCTGAACAATCTGTGGCGAAGCGAAGCCTTTCAATATGGCCCTATAGGTTGTTTCATCATGGTATCAGTTTAATAGGTCTACAGAATCTACAGGTTAGACAAACAAGCTTAAGAAACAAGCGTTGCACCACGGCGTCTTGGACTTCATTCTGTCGAAACTCATTTTAGTTCCACAATTATGTAGTATATCTATATAACGACAGTTCTCGTCAGCTGGAAATTAGAATCGTACTGCCGAACATTTACACTGTTCATAGCTAAACTCTAACCCACATTATATTTGATCCCATATGTGAAGATAAAGTTGTTAGTCATAGGTCAATAAAAACTCAGCTTTGCCCCGCCCAAATTTGCGTAGTTCTATCATTAAAAAGGGACTCCACGCATATCTCCGTCAAAACGGCTTAACAGGGAACTACATATCCGATTTTGCGGATAAGTATCTATATATCACTGAATTTCTCTTTTCAAATGTTGTGACATATCAGGGGTTCAACTCATAACAGGGTTCAACTTATAACTCTATATTTTTTTTTACTGAAAGTCTATGTTTTATTAATTATTATCATTAAGAACTAAGATTTTGAGCCAAGTCCCCTTACGGGATGACGCCACAGCTTACGAATACGAATTTCGCTGCGTCATCACGCGCACCGTTTCCACTCTTCTTCCAACGTACACATTTCGCATTCTGGAGGTGTACTCTAATAGACAAGCTATCTGAAATTTTCCCATACTCCACTAAATCCATATTGTATAGTTTATGGGCCTTTTTTTTTCGTTGCTTTTCGTAGAGAAAGCCGGAATAAATTGGCTTACACTTAAGCTTGTATCTAATCTCATTGAATTTACGATACAGTGCACTCAGAAATCTAGCGAGCCCAAACTTACTAGGAATTTCCACCGGAAGCTCATCATTGTGATACTTTCGGTGGCGAGTTTCGATGGGATCGGCATAATTTAAGGACTATTTCGACTTGTTCTTTCAGGATGTTGAACAGGAAGAAAAAGAAATGGTCCAAAGGACGAGCGCAGCATAAAAGAGCACTTGGAATAACTAGAATTAAACCGTGACGGTAGATGTCAAATTATCTCACAACCTACATCAGCAATCTGTTATGTGTACTACTTCCTGATGGCGATACATCGGAACCAGTGTTCTGTGGACTTCAAACCCGCGGCTATATTATCCAGATCTACGCTAAAGCTAACGAGTATTTCGTGCCATGAAGCGCTACAGGTAAAATATGGCCTCTCTATGGTTTCTCGTCACTTTCGGCCAACGTCACCACTGTGCGTAAAAAAAACGTGCGACACTGCGTGCCGTACTATAATTTGATACAGAACCGTCACGATCCCTTTGTGCTAAGGATGTCTAAAATCGACAATGGCCATTGCGGTATTCATGTAGACTAACGCGACAGGCTATTTTGGTCACTAATTTGGCCTTTTCAAGGTCCGATAAATACGCAGTGAATTCAAGCAATATGCCTTTTACTTTAGGTACAACGAGAATATATGATGGTTATGTGTTCGGTTATTGATATTGGACTAGTTGAGCGTTACATAATGCATTTGATACGAGCAATTGCCGTTTATAAGTTGACATTTGTATGTCAGTAAAGCACACCTTAACGTCTCCGAGCCTCCATACTTATTAAATAACAGGACAACTATCGATTTCGTCTGTTAGACCTGCATATTGAAACCTTACGATATGGGCGTCACAAAAGTGGATGAAATATATCTTGGCAACGAATGAACACTTGGGACTTCTGTGCTTTTGAGCACTCAGCAGATGCTGTACCTGTTAAGACAAACATAATTTTGATAAACTTACTAAGCTTAGTGGTAGGTTAACTCACAAATTCGACTCACTGGGTATTTTGCCGAGTTGGGTCTCTTGGCCAAACTCCCACACAGATCAGGCTATCTCATCAAGCGATTGAATAATTTGGTATTAAATAAATAAATAACGTTACCTTAGCTATTACCTTTAAAGCTTTATGTAGTTAATAACTTCTGTAAAAATTAACATTTCTTTGAAATGAACGGATCATTTGCTGCGTCACGATTGTCGTTGCGGTGAATAGGAGTATCAATAGAGACAATTTTCCCCTTTGCAATTCAAAAGGAATTTTATAAAAAAAAAAACGTTGGCGGAGGAGTTCAACGAAAAGGGAAGAGTAAAACAGCTCGTTTAATGATGCTCAAAAGCGTCTTTATATCATTTAGGTGCGGAGGCGAAAACAGACGCTAGAGGGTTATTCTGAGTCATATTTGGTATCTGAGATCTTAAATATTCAGAAATACGAGGTTTTCAATTAGTCGATTAGACAGAGGGTTCCACATGAGCGACTGTCGTAATCTACATTTTGACATAAAAGTTAGAAGCGAAACTTAGAACTGAGGCTTCTGAGTCGGGTTTGTCGTTATATGCAGTTGAACTGCGAGGCACATCGTGAGGGGTGGAGGGAAGAGGGTTGTGACAGAGCAATTGAAGGCAGAAGCGGAGTGCTTGCAACCGGTGGATATAAAGAAGAGCAAAGCCCGT